AAATAGTTATGTTTTTAAAAGAAAAAAAACTACTATTGTTATAAATAACACATTCAATTGAACTAAACTATGCATGCCTAATTAAATATATTTACACATGGCTTGTGTATATAATACATATATTATTCATACCTTCGGTGTATAGGATGCAAGCAGATTTTGACATCAAATTTTGGGGTAAAAGAGTAGGTCTTATACACTGAAAAATACAGTAAGCAAAACATAAACATTTAGAATTGTTAAAAATGAAAACAAATGTCTCAACTCTGAAAAGACTACACATTATAGTCATTGTTCAACCTTTTGTATTTTCAATGCCACTGGAAACAACTTAAAAAGCTTTAAAATGATATATTTGCAATGGGAGTGTAAATTATCATACTTAAAGTTAACCAAACTGTTAGCTTAAATAATAAAACAGACTGTGTTTCTTGTTACTGAATATATCTCAGTGAAGAGAGGATAACTGAGACAAAATAAATGGTGAAGCTTTTGTATAAACTATGCTGTAATAAAGTCCAAGTGCCGAATTTTTTGTTTCTATTTCAACTATAAAAAAACTGTACAAATGATACCAAGTAGTAACTATCATGTTTTTATCAACATATGATTTATTTATTTATGCAAACTTTTTTTTTAAACTGCAGAATATTTTACCTTAGGAATAAATCACTGCTCACAATATATATTTTTTATTAAACTAACCAAAAAAGTAGCTGCTATAGATGTTAATGCATATTTTTAATCAATAAAAAAATGTAGATAACATAAGATTATTTTTTCTCTCCCTCGTTAAATTTACATAATTAGTACATACACCTCAATTTTTTTTAATAAAGCACTTTACAAAAATACATACTGAATTTGGGGAACTTTACAAAAATATACAAATGTCTGTATCAAAGACATACTTAAAAAGGAATAAACCTCTCAAATAAATGGATGGTCGATAGAGAATTTATCACAGATGATGTTCTACAACACTTCGATGTATTGGTGGTAAAATTAGTGAGGTTTGGAATGTATATAGTTATCATTTCAGAACATTTGTTTACATGTTTCTTAAACTATCTGCATCATCACTTTCTGTGAAGAAAATAGTAAATACTAATAACCATATTTCATTTGTCACTTATACTATTAACAAAATAAGTAATGTTTTATTATAACGTTGTTTAAATTAAAACAAAAGAAGGTACTAACTAAATTTCAGTGGCATATTACCGTGTGTTTCCAGTGGTATATTACTGCAAGTTAAATTAAACAGTCGCCAATTCATTTCAGGTTTGTTAAAATGCTTTTTAAGCTTTTCTGGTATCATGTTTCAGATAACATTACAAATCAATGAAATTCAGTTTTTAAAGTTTAAAATCATTACATAAAACCTTCATTCTATTTCTCTTATAAGTAATACAAGCAATAAAAGTAGGGAAAGTCAGAGGAATAATAATCCTCATTAAGAAAAGTTCTAATTACTCACACCAAATCATGAATAAAATTAATTACTCATGTTAACTCATGAAAAAGGTTCTAATTACTCACACCAATTCATGAATAAAATTAATTACTCATACTAACTCATGAAAAAGGCTCTAATTAATCACGCCAATTCATGAATAAAATTAATTACTCACGCTAACTCATGAAAAAGGTTCTAATTACACATATTAACTCATGAAAAAATACTATTTACTTAGGTTATTTAAAAAAAGCACTAAACTATCCTCAATATGTCAGATTCAATGCATGGCTCGGTGGTTTCATGCTTTTGACTCGTAGTCAGATGGTTACTCTGTTCTTGAGTGATATGCTTTACCCCATTTGTTCCAGTTAACCCAGCTGTATGATGAATACCTTGGTGTTAGCTGGGGGTTAACTAGTGTCCCATCTAGCTAAAATAGGTCACCATGTTCATCCTATTGTGCAACTGGAAATGGAGTTTGAAAGCATCAGCCTTATGTGCCTATTAAGGCACACTAGTGATTTTCTTTCTTTTAAATATATTACTTTTTAAGTGGCACATTGTCAGTAAACGTAAACTGACAAAAGTAACATTACACTTAGAAACATGCTTAATCCTTTCTGTCCCCACATAGAATGTCACTGCTGGTTTCACCTACAATATGTTCGGTGTTTGTTATGAAAACGAATTAGAAGAGATTATTATTAAAACAATAGCAACAGATTTTCTGGAGAAATAAACTCAACACCTATAAATATTAACACACTTAATAAGAGACAGCTTGGCATTTTCATGATCAGTTTAATAAACAAATTATATCCCCCAACATGGGAATGACCAATAGTGATGTAGATAGTACACATGCACTGGAAAGAATAGCATTATAATTGTGTATATAATGTTTTGTTTTCTCAGTCAGACACAACAGTTCTAACTCCAGTAAAGATGTTGTCCTCAGTCTATACACTTGTCATTTTTGATCGATTTGTGTATTGAATAAGTAGTTTTTCACTGTGTCCAAGTCTCTTTTTTTGTCACATTAAATTCAGTATGTCAGTTTCACTGATTTACCTTCAAATAATTGGGTAAAATTCCAAAAATAACAGGAAGTTTGATCATGTTTCCTACATAATTTAAAAGTATAAGTTTGTATAAATGTTATGAATAATTTTTCCCTACATATAATATATGCAAGGCTGATTCCTTCTACTTAATCACTGTAAGTTGAACTGAAATTACATAACTTAATTCCAGTCTATAATTCTGACTAGGTTGTTTCTATCTTAACAAACATCACCTACTGGAATAGCAACCGAGTTAATTTAACAACCTAGTATCATAATAATCGTTAATAACAGGTGAGAAATACGGTGTTATTAATGACTCAAATTTTAAATTTTGCTTATGAATTTATATGATTGTAGCTACATTTTGTTCTTTTTTTTCTTCTAATTAGTAGGTGATCCTGTTTTGCTAGAAAAATATATGTTGACCCACTTGGACATTCCCATCAAAAACTTGTTCTGTAAAAAAACAAACAAAGGTAAAATAGGATTACTGGGAATTTTTAAAGGAACAAAAATTTGTTTATTCATTTTAGAATTTTGTACAAAGTTAGACAAAGACATGTGCACATGACCAGATTTAAAGGGAAGGCAACTAGTCAATGGTGCCCACCATCAATTTTCATGCCTCTATTACCTGATCGAAGAATGGGGTCTGACTGTCACTCTTATAGCACACCGACAGTTCTTCTTCAGCTAATCACTGTGTTTGTTGTTCGATTGTGCCACTAAATTTAGGGTTTATTTACATAATGCCTGGCCAACAGGATCAAAAAACACAAAGATCATATTTGTCATATTTCTTGGAAGATAAAGGGTATATGTTAGAACTTATGGAATAATTTACTCAGTGCTTATAAACAGTACAAGTTTGTTATTTACTCAGTGCTTATAAACAGTACAAGTTTGTTA